AAAGTTTAATATTAGATTACTGAAAGCTCCAATGCTTCACTTTTAGGGGAAGCAGACCTTCATTGACTTAGCTAGCCTCACTATATGAGTGTGTGTGTGTGTGTGTGTGTGTGTGTGTGTGTGTGTGTGTGTGTGTGTGTGTGTGTGTGTGTGAGGCACTGAGGCAGGAATGTCAAGTATGCACTGGAAAACAAGCAGGGGCCTCCTTTTCAGCCGGTCCAGGAGCAAGATTCTCGGCGGAGCTCCAGATTACGCAGTGCAACAGACAGGAGATGGCTACACTTTACAGCACTGCTTGCACTCATATTTGGTGGGTTTTACGAGATCATTATGCAATAAGAGCACGCACTTTCTTGTACTTACTTCAAAAGATTTCAGCTTTTTTGGAAATTGGCTGTAAAGAGAGCACTGCAGCAAATTTTAGACACCGCAGGCAAAGAATCCTTTTAGCACAACGTGTAATTAGCAGGTTATTGCGGCGCTGGGATGTTTAGGAACAGGTCTTTTCTGTACAGTAAACTGAAGAGCTTCCCAGGACCCTCAAGTGCGGGAGAAAGGCTCTTTCATCGGTCACCACGCTGTTCTTTATATGAACAATACACACATTCTGCTTCACGTGGGAGAAAACTCACGTCATTGGACAATAATGATCCAATTCACTGCACCAAAACAGCAGCAGTAAATTGATCAAACCTTTCTAGGAGTGAATGCATTTTCAAAGTGCACTTAAGAGTCCCAACCACCTCCACATAGCAGTCTATTTCAATACACCGCTAAACCCCTGATACACATTCTCAGCCTTTGCTCTGTTGCACAAGTCAGCAAACAATTTGGCGGAGCCAATCCAAGGAGCACATGTGCGCATGTTGAAAGAAACAATCCATGTACATTCAAGTGCATCTGAACAGAGGCTCAGACATTCATGACATCCAGTTTTAATGCTCTCCTCCATCTTTAATGGTGGCCTTGTAATGTTGCTCTTTCAAGTCATTCATCTCTCCATGGCAGCCATTTACGGCTGACAGCGTACAACTAATCTCCACATTCACCCAAACATGAAAACATATCTGTCTGGCCTCCTGTCCCCGGGTCTCTGCCATCCCACAGGGGCTAGAGCGGTTCTGTCAGGGCCCAGGGCCCTCGCACTTTGTCCCTGTCTCGCTACGCCCACAACCCCCTCCCCCTCCCCCTCCTTCGGGCACCGCCAGCTAGCAAGGAGACCACACAGCAGGCTGAAGGCAGACAGACTCTGGCCTCCACTCAACTGTTTCCTTTAGTTTTTAAACCCTTTAAGAATCTATCCGGATACATTTACAAGCCAGTTATGTCATTGTGGCTATAGGCATCCTTAAAGCGGATCTTTAAGGAGATTTCTGTGAAACAAGACATGCCATACTGGAAGACGCCTTATTTTAGGGGAGTGACTGATCCAGCTTGTAATCTCTGGGAATTACTGGTTTTATTATTAACATGAACCACTGCATGTTACAGACTGTGAGGAGTTACTTAACAGCCAAATGTGTGTGAATTGTGAAAGAGAGTGCCCGTCCAGGGCCTGATAACTTGTTTGGAGTGTGATTGTGTGGAACGTTATAAAGGCAAGGGTGCGGGGCCTCTCAAGGTCTTTCTAATCAGACAGTGAGTGAGCGCAGGGCAGCCCGCTGGCTCCACAGTGCAAAGCCACAGACACAAACACATCCAGGGCCACCACATCTTCCCCTCGGTGACACATCTCAGAGAGAGAAAACAACAATCTGGCCTCTCACACAATCCCACAGAGTGGCCTTCATCCGCTCATTAAGCCGCTGCGTTTGAAAAAAAAGGAGTTTCCCATCAAAAGGACATGTCCTATTTCTAAGACGATATGAGTAAAAGTATTCCAAAATAATCCAACTCAAAATAACTTTCTTGAGAATCTGTGTGGTCATGTTTTTCTGTTGAGTTTTAAAATAGGCAAAGCAGCAGTGACTTCAAATCTGACTAGCGATAGAGAAACCCAATATGTTTATGTGAAAAACAGGCTTCTAAATCATATGGTTTGCCACATTCTTTTAAGAAAATAAACACTCTAACCCACCACCAGGTTTTTGACAAGTGAGGAAAAGAGGTTTATTTTGCAATCCCTTAAGAGCATAGGAGCTGTCCTTTTGGGGGGGGGGGGCTAAATAGGATTCTGAAATAGGATTCAGGAGGGCTGCAGTGTGACCACAAACCCCAGCAGTGGACCATTGCGCTCTGCCGCTGCCAGAGCCCCAGAGATAAGCAAATTACATATGGAAAGCATGGACAGACACAGAGGTGTTAATCGTCACCCGGAGATCAAATCTAATCAATTAGAGGTGGCCAGCTGGCACTCGATCGCAGGCATGTCGGAGACAAATCCTTCTAACAGAGCCATCCATCTAGCCATCCGTCCATTCATCCCGCAGCTCCTTCTCTCCTTTACAGAGTGGACGTGTGAAGGAGAGAAGGATCTATGGTTGTGGAGGTGAACTGTTTTGGTGGATGAATAACAGGAAAATGGCGAGTAAGCGTTAAAGAAACCTGAAACGGCACCTTTATTTTATCTAGATTCATGGGCCCGATTTTACACATAAAGATTGGTTCACTTGAGAAAAGGAGCTCATCCCCTTAAAACAGTTGTGTAATGTCCTCTGTGGCAAGAAACAGGGAGGGTCTAACGAAAGATACTATCAAGTGGCATTATGGGAAATGTTTTATTTTCCTTTTGTATGAGTTTGACTACAACACCAACATCCTTCTACCTCCGCTGCACTGATTTTGACTATTTTAATCTACCTCTTGCAAGTTCCTCAACTACTTCAACAACTACCTTACTTTGAATTATGAGAAATACTACAGATAGTGTTTATGCCCTAGTCTGTCTAAATGCTCGGACAGACAGCAGTAGAGTACACGGGGGTGACTGGGTGAATTAGTGGTTTATTTCATACAATTTAACTACAGGGAACAGGTCTGAGGCTAACTCAGACATTTACACACCACAGTTAGTGACTGTTGTACTTATTTTTTTTGTTTATAAGTCTATGGTAACAAAGATAAATCTGATTTTCACTCAAAAATCAGCAAGGAACTAATAAGTCTCCAAAATCAATTTCTACAATACAGCATTGTCACAAAATGATCCTCTCTCTGTTCTGTCTCTCTTCCAGGCCCGGTCTGTCTGCAATGACAGGAAGCAGTGGAAGTAGGGGAGTTGAAAGAATTGGGTTTTTTGCAGGGTCATTCACTTGGCTGGCAACATGCCAAAAAGAACAAACTGACACAACACCACAAAGGCACAAAGACCAAGGGAGTGGGTTCCACCTGCCCCGGCGACCACAGACAGCGCTCAGCTTCACAGGGAGTTTTGGCTGAATCCTGTCTGCTGTCTGTTTCTTATCCGCCCCTCCAGCGCTAACTGTAGCCTGACAAAAAACACCCCAAAGAGCTGCCCATGCAAATGTAAATGGCTGAGAGTGAAATGTGTTTATTTTGGCCCGTGTGATTTGACAAGCGTGAAATTAATTCAAAAAGGGTTGCTGAAGGCAGGCAGCAACACAGAAAACAACCCTTTTCTCGCCTTGATAGGGGCTTTTGAGGTATGTCAAGTCCGACCCACAAACCATTTAGCCATCCTGCATGTGGGGCTGTGAGGCTGTAAACTGTGTCAGTGTGCTTCCATTCTCACTTTCCTTTCCTTCACATGGCGCATCGCACATGGCACTCACACTCGCATACGCTCTCGCTCACACAGTGGTCCCCACGGCGGGGCGACTGGGGGCAACAGACTGATCCTCCGCAGATATGACCTACTTTCTATTCAAGCCTGTCTCTCTTTGTTCACACCATGGTGGAGGAGGCTGCTGCAGCCTTTGGAACAAAGAGCGCAGGCAGCACTTGGGAGCCTTCAAACAAGCTGACCCTGCCTAGATACAGCCACCCCGAAAATGGCTCGGTGTAGCTTGGACTCCCACTGTCTGGAAATCTCCTCCTTTTTCTACTTTGATCGACCTCCGCAGCAGACGAGGGAGGTTAAGCCCCAGTTCCTGCAGCCTTCCACCCAGTCTCCCAGTCTCCTGGCTCAGAGGGATCAGACATATATAGTGGAGGTGGGAGGAGGCCTCAGTTATCAATCTAGGATCTGAAGGGACGGGTGGAGGGAAATTTTATTTGATGTTTTGTCTGGGGCATCAGGAAGTGTGGATCCCTACACAGGGTTCACTTTATACAGATACAAAACCTCTTGCAGAGATTATCTGCCTCAAAACATTGATCTTTGGTGTAATAATACCTTTACACACATTCCTGTGATACAAGGACATCAGCAAGTTTAAGAAGCAAAGGCAGCACTACAAAATTACACAACCATGTATTAAATGTACCTGAAGACTCAATTACAGAACCCTCCATTTAAAGCTGTGAACAGACCATTTAGTCTTTAATGACCCGACCGCAACAGCCGCCTCCCCAAAAGATGCACATCTGTACGAGCCAGACTCATGCTTCAAGGGCAACAGTAGACGATTTTAATAAGCACCTGCAACTGTGGCTGCTTTCGTCAAATCTGGCAAATGAGGCACAAAATTGTTGGAGGTAGAGCGTTGCGGCGGCTGATGAATGAACGTAGCTCTGCAAGAGACAGCGAGAACATGCAATCTCTGAAGAGGCAGAATCTGATGGGGACGAGGGCACTTATCTGCAGCCAGCCCGAGAGAACAAAATGAGCACAGGGTGGGAAATAAACCAGGGAGAGTGGAAGAACAGGAACTGAGAGGAAGGCACAATTGAGATTACAACAAAGGACAAAACCAATGGTGCTCCTGAGAATCAGTACTCCAAATTTCCTGTTTGGAAGGCAGAACTAAAGGAGCTACCTTGCATTGTGTGCAGTGCCCCTGCAAACTGCCAAACAATGCACAAAAGCACACATGCATCATGCTAAATGAAGCAGATCCTGGAAAGACGCCATTTCTAAAAAGAGTAAAGTAGCAATTTACCTGCATGTGTTCTGTTGAGCTGCTGCTGAGCTCGTCCCCAGACTCAGAGTCGTTGTGGATTTTGTTCAGCCCCTCTCCTGGCAAGTCGCCCGGTGGTGAGGTCTTGTCGCTATCGGGACTTTTGTTGTGGTTGTTCCCAGCTTTGAGCGGAGGCGAGTCTGCCCGTGTCCTTGGCAACGTGGAATTGTTGGCGTGGTGATGGTTGTTGTTGTTGTGAAGAAGTACTAGTTCAGCCACCACCTTGCAGTGATGTGGACTCCCCAGATTCTGGTTAGCATCCTTGGGCAGAACTGGCGGTGTGACGCGATCAGAGGATGGCGACGGGGTAGAGGAAGGCGAAGGACGCCCAAAGCTGGACATTTCCGGCTGGGGTCTGTTGAGGTTTTCATTAGATGCCCGGCAGATATCCAAAACAGTGGGCTTGGCCCTCAAGGTGGGCTTCTGGGGGGGCATGAGTGCCCGACGCACCTCCCTGACGTACTGCGCCGGCACGTAAAAGGCCTTTGTGCCTTCCTCCTTCTTCACCTGCCACCAGTCCTCATTGGTCTTCTTCACCAGCATATACCACTCCCCCTGGCGGATAGTCACCATCTTGTCTTTGGCCTTGTACTCATAGTCGTACTCCACCTCGATGTAGACCTGGCCCGGGGCGACCGGCAGCCCCTCTCTGTCAGCCATGACTGCCAGAACAAGCACTTGAACTCTGACCTCAGCTGCTCAGCGACCCACGCCTGGAGGGCTCCTCATGTCTGACTGGGGGAACTGCTGGACTGTAGGACAAAGACAGGGGATGTTTTTTTAAGTTAAATGTCACAAGCTGTATTTTTAAGACCTTAAGCAAGCTCAGACACATGAACATACACCCACCAGACCACACAGACATGCTCCGTTTCATCATACAAACGTCCCAGCCTTATTACTCACCTGATTACCACCAACCACAAAGTGCTACTGCTGTAACACACTCATACTATGACATGATCCACTTCCAGACAGACATACTCTATTGGTGAGTAAAGAATGGAAACTCCTCCCTCAGATCATCAAAACCCACAACAGACAGTCAACACTGATTGCTCTGGTAACTGATACCACAGCTAAGAACATCCAACCCGGTAACCTGATCACCCACCGCGGAGCTAAAGGTGATGACAACATGACCCACACACACTGATCCTGCATGCGATCCAATGACTACAATGACTCCCCCGAGCTTACATTCTCCTCAGAGACCACATCCAAAAATAAAGCGCGTGTCCCACTCTGCAGTTTGGCATCATTACACATTAATGCAGTTACAAGACACAGTCAGAACCTTTAAAAAGCTTAGGGTGCTCTCCTCGATATATCACAGAGTGTGTGTGTGAGTCAGAGGACAGCTGGGTCCCCCGCCACTCCTGCAGGGTTTGTTTTGGGATGAGGCCTGTCATTGATCCGTCTGTCAGACTGTCCCTTCGTCGGTTAACCTAAATAAATACCGGGGCGCTCCCATAGCAGTGGAGCTGCTACCGAGCCATGGCTCCCCTCGTGTCAAATTCTTCCTCCCTGAAATAGCAGCCGCCGTGGAGCGACATCCTGGAAGTGCAGGCGGTAAAAGCAGGTGCTTTTAGTGAGGCGTGAGAACACGCCACTGAATCTATAAGGGGCCCATCCTTATGTAAAGGAATATGTACACACGCTCTGAGGCTCAGACTGTCAGCTACGTACCCAGAATAGATTTACGGTGGTGAGAGCCGTCTGGGGCCAGAGTGGGAGCCCACGAGAGATGAGCTGCATGTTCATAATGGGCTTAAATTGTTTCTGTTTTATCTGTTTCAACACCATGAAGCACACATACACACACAATGTTACGTCATGCTGGGTCTTTTAATGTGTGTGTGCCTGACAGTGGCTGAGTCTGAGCCTGCCGCAGCACGAGCTTCAGCTGTGATGTCAACACACACACGTTCAAGCCTCTATGAATGACTGTCTCTCAAGGAACAGTCACTGTCTGTTTTAATTTGTGTGAGTATTTGATTGAGTGTTGGGAATCGGTCACAGATCCTCACGTGGCCTCCCCACCTCTAACACCACACAGACACATCACCATCACACCATCACCAGAGGTGCCAGAGATGAAGTCAGGAGTCTGTCAGAGCTTCTAGTCACGCACATGATAACGGCACTATCAACCATGTTGCATGGCAGCCACTGTCCTGACCCCCTCACAGGGACTTCACAGTGCTGCTGCTCTAAAACACTGTTTCTGGTGGGTGTTTAAGCTGCGTGTATTGCATTCTAAAATCAAGAATAAGCCCTGTAATAAGTGATGTGACAATGGTAGAGTACAGGTATGTCCCACTGATTAACTTTACCTACAACTGTCCTCTTCATATTATCAGCATCTGAAGTCGGAGACACTTATCCAAAAGACTATGGCTCCCAAATATGCACCCGTAGAACCCAGGCAGTGTCATAGAGCTGATTACAAAAATCACAGTGCGCAAAATCAAATGAAATGATCAAATGTGGAGTAACTTTGTCTTCCTAGAGGCAAATCAAAACCCAGAGAAACCTTTATCAGGGGCCCCGCATCTGACTCACTACGACAAAAACGTACAGTTAAAACTGACTCAGACACAATACGGCAGAAATTTACAACTCCACTCCCTCCCCCCTCTCTCTTTCAAATGCTGCTGTGTCCCAAAGTTCTGGCAGAGGACCCAAGAGAGTAAATTTCGCTGCAATTGAATCCTCGTCACAGCGTGGTGTCAGAGCAAAGTGAGGTCTCAGGGGAGCGCGCCAGCCAACTTGTTGCTCCGTGGAGACCCAAAGGCTGGCGCTCATGTTTAGAAACATTACAGCAGAGACTGAACAACTACTGTCCGTACAGACCAAAGCCCACTGTGCTTTTAGTGTATCTGGGAATCTTCAACGTGGGGCCCAAGGTGTCAATAACAGCTAGTTTTAATCCGGTTCTACTGCATGTACTCACACCACTTGTCCATGCTCTTATAGCCAGACCACTAACCAACTTTTTAAAATGTCAAAATCTCACCTGGTCTTTTACGACATGACATTATGTAAGCTTATATTGCTGTTGTTGTGACTGCAGAGCAAATTTAATTCCATTTCATCTGTAGAGAGATAAGCATACATATGTTTATAGAAAAGCTCAATCAATAACACAAATCAGATGGCAGATGTGGTTAATGGTGGCTATTGCAGCAGGAAATGTTAATAAAAACATGTCTGAGCACCTTGCCTACATGGCTCTGTAGTGGAATGCTCTGCAGTGTCATTCAGTTAAAAACACGTTAAATGGCATCATGAAAAAAGCTCTATGACATGGCCCTCAGTGTTGGCTGTAGCAGCAGATAATCAAGGTGTGCATGGACGCAGAGATCACGACCTGTGCTTTCGTCTGCATACATCTGCAGAGCAGCCACTGTGGCAGCACAAACACCCTGACACTCGGACTGCCTTTGTCCCTGCGCTTCATTCAGAACAGATGTGGCCGAGCAGCATCCACTCCAACATGTGCTGCTGCTGCCGCTGCCGCATTTCACCCCATCTCTGCGGCTCAGTTTCTTCCATTTGCATATGCACTGATTGAAAACGGTGTTGCAATTGAAAGCCCCGCAAACAACCAGCGTGGGTCTATAAATTGCGGGGGGCTGAGCGGCCAGAGCATGCCTGCGGCGGGGGGTGAGGGAAGGGAGGAGAGGGAAGAGGGGGGCAGGGTCCCTTCCAGCCCTACACGGACTGCAGAAATACAACACAAAGGAGTTTAATCCATGAGCATTCATAACAAAGGACTCGACATCACCAAGGATTCCCAGGAGCGAGAGAAGGGCAGGGACAGCGCCTGCCCGGAGAAAGCACCCCCCTGAGCGGGGACAAACAGCCCAACACACCGCGAGAAAATAAGCCCAACATATGTGTAGGTGCGTGTCACACAGGCACGAGGAATTTTTAATGACCAAGCCATTAAAATGTCTCAAACAATCAACATTTAGATTGTTCCACCGATGGGAGACATGTTGGTGACAATTTCCAGCGGCTTCGTGCTCGGACAAAAGGTTGGCACTGCAGGTTCACTCGGATACAAACCCCCCGATCTGCAACAGCGTGCATAGCAACAAAGTAACTCCGACAGAAGCCAATAGCCTCTCGCTGACCGGGCGACGGAGCAACCCCACGCAAAACTCAAACACACTCACCTCGAAAAACTCCAGTGGGGTCTCTGGGTCTCTGTGTCCTGCGTCTACCGTACAGCTAGTTTCACAGTTACTTTTCCCACCTATTTCACTGTCGGCTGCTCCGACTGAAGTCCGCAGCAGACCTCCAGTCAGTCGCTCTGTTCGCAATCCCCCGCCTCTCCACGCGCCGTCAAGCTCGGTGCGGCAAACACAAGCCCTATCCGGTCTCAACCTTCAAAGTAAAAGCTTGAAGTGGACGGACTTGGATGTGTTGTTATTTGGGACTTAGTTACAGCAGAGCAGCTGAAAATAATGACAAAACATAGCTGTGTATTTATTTTCAGTTAGCCCCTCTTTTGGATGGTCATTTTCCCTAGTATTTACCATTTATTTGACATATTTGTTGATAAGGAAAACAGGAAACCAAATTTTTGAATTCAACAATGAAAAAGTCTAAAACTGCCTCAAAATATACATTCAAACAATCACAACCAACTATAAGTTACACATAGTCCATCCTATGTGTGTGTTATTGTCTGAAATCTCCCCATTCATGCCGGGTAAGCTTACTGAAATGATAAAATTCACTGCTATAGTCTATAGAACTATAGTCCTGCTATCCCCAAATACTTCCATACATATAAACCTAAAACACACATGGCCATCCAAAAGGTGTCTACAACTTTCTGTTGTGGGTTTTTGTCTCCATATATGATCAAATGCTGCCACTCTTAAATACAATCTTATTTTGGCAATCGTTTGTTTTTGTTTTATTTTGAAGGGAAATCCAGTTCTAGTCAGTGTGTTTCCGTTCAGCTTGACGCGGTTGTAGTCTCCAGCAGACGCTGGTCTATCGCGCCCACCCCAGCCGTCTGTCAGCGCTGATAGACGGCGTCCAGAGCCCCGCGCCGGCCTCCCCCCTCCAGGTTCAACACCTCACTGTCCGGTGCTTCCCAACCGTAGGTCCGCGGACACTCAGGGCTCCTTTTGAGTTTTTAGGGGATCCCCTGTTAAATCTGGAATAGTTTCAATTTCACTATTTGATTGTGGGAGTCATGAAAAATGTCACTGCAATTATAAGAATAAGATTTTCATTTCCATATTGTTTAACGTAAATAACGTAATTTAAACCTGTAGGATAAACGTTTAAAGATGCCCCCCCCCACCCCTACCCCCTCTCCTCAGCTGAGCTCTATCTGGCAATCACAGCAGGGAGTTTCACCATCCAAGCAGGATCATGAATGATTTAGGGCTTGGATGATCCAGGAACACAGCAAGTCTTCAATGGAGAACACTCAGACTATAGAAGGACTGGGATTAGCCTCAGGCAAGAAAAATCCAAGTTTACCTTATTTCAGAATAATGTATGAACGTCTACAAAGTGATTAAATCACATCACTTCTCATCTCAAATAGACTTCTTCTAGTCTATTTGTGTGAAAGCACACCCTGTTGGTGTGAGGGGGGAAGTGACAGACATGATGAATTGTTGATTTCAGTGACTTCCAGTATTGTTGGGTGAAATCTAAGGACATTGGGATATAAAGTTAATCAAGATTAAACACCACACAGAGCTCTTTATTTACATGTGCTTTTGTCAGGATATCATAGGGAATTCATCATTTTCATTTAGCATTTAAAGCGGCAGTAGGTAACTTTTATAAAAATAACTTTTTGTCATATTTGCTGAAACGTTCACTATATCCAGAGTCCTATCCTCCTAATGGCATTTACAAGAATCCACCGGGCCTGAACAAAAACAAGCATTCAGAGCTGAAAAAAGATAGCTGATGGTTGAGTCTCATTCCCAAACTGTTAAATACCGATACTGGGAATGGGACTCAACAATCAACTTTCTTCAAGCCACCAACCCAAAGTGTCTTTCTGTCTTTCTCAGCTCTGATTGGTTGTCTTTGTTCAGGGCTGGTGGATTCTTGCAAATGCCATTAGGAGCACTAGGAGGAGCTTTTTTTCACAGATTATCTGTCTCATGTACTACTGTCAGGATATAGGGAAAGTTTCAGCAAATGTGACAACACGTTATTTACCTACTGCAGCTTTAATTAGTTGTTTCAAATCTCTTATTTTATTATTTTCAAAAACCTTTGAACAATTTCTACAAGTTAACAATCTTTGGGGAAAAAACAGTTGTCTGACTATTCAAATCCATGGTGGGCAAAAAAAATGAACCACAATAAGGTTTACAATTTAAATTTATTATTTCTAAGTAAAAACTTACAGGAAACTCCTGTGAAAACAGACTGCAGTGTGTGAAACAAACATGCACAGGGCTGTTGGAGCCTGCACAAACTGCACAGGCACGTACACATTAAGACTTCTCATCATGAAGTCATCACTAATACTGCTTTGGGTGTGCTCATTTTCTGAAAGTGAAAAGTGTAAGATGCATGTTAAAGGTTCAGCTCAGCAAAAACATTCAGAAAATGTCAGTTCCTGTGGGAGCTTTAGCTTTATATTCTGTACAATAATAGGATGACATTGCACTTGTTTAGTGTAAGTCAGGAGTGCTAATGAGGCTACTACAACAGAGCTGACAGACTGTTAAGTATCAATCATCCACTTCTTACTGTAAATTCAAGCATTTCCAGCTCACTCTGGATACATTAGCAACAATACATAATGCATGTTTTACAAAACAAAGTAAACATAAGTGAACTCTTGACTTCAGCTCTCAGGCATAAATAACATCTGTATCAACCTACTCCCAGAGCTTTTCTTGCCCTGAGCCAAAACGAGTGCTGTGCCAGTGTCAGGGAAGCTGAGGACTTAATGGCTTTTTGAGATAGTTTGAAGCTGTTAATAAGAACAGTGATGGCAAGCGAGTCTGAGCATGCATACACTTTCTTACTCTTCTTTACTCTACAGGTGTAATTAAGTGGGGTATTCAGCTAAATATTGTCTCTCTGTCAGCTCTTACTCACCCAGTGAAGCATCATTTTGAACCAACAAGATGTGGTTAAATATACTTTTGAATGGTTAAAGGGACAGTTCATCCCAAAATCAAAAACACATTTCCTCTTAATTATCCTTCTGGATTGTTTTGGTGTGAGTTGCTGAGTTTTGGAGATGTCTGCCTTCTCTCCAATATAATGGAACCAGATGGCACTCAGCTTGTGGTGCTCAAAGTGCCAAAAAATACATTTGAAAAGCTCAACAGTGGTGTCTCTTTCCAGAAATCATGACCCGGTTACTCAAGAAAATCCACAGACCTTGTGGCAAATAGTTTCATGTAGGTAATATTTTCTTTCTACCGAACTACACCCACCAACAGTAGCTGAACGCTAGCTATCTCTGTGGTGCTAGGTGAGATAGCAGCTCAGATGAGGAGGGCACCATTAATGTTTAAAAGCACTGTCAGGAGCACCAGCCTCTCATCTATTAGTGGATGCACGTTTCCTTCTGCGTGGTGATAGATGGAAAGAAAATAGTTCCTACGTGTAACTGCTCACAACAAGGTCTGTGGATTATCTTGAGTAACCGCTTCATGATTTCTGGAAAGAGACACCGCTGTTGAGCTTTTCAAATGTATTTTTTGGCACTTTGAGCACCACAAGCCATGTGCCATCTGGTTCCATTATATTGGAGAGAAGGCAGACATCTCTACAGCAGAAATCTCCAAAACTCAGCAACTTACACCAAAACAATGTGGATGGATAAATACATCTACAGGTAAGAGGAAAAATATGCATTTTTGATTTTGGGTGAACTGATGCACAGGCAGAAGAGTGTCACTAAGAGATTTCTGTGATCTTCCTTTGCCCCCAGCTCAGTTCAAAAACCAATCCACAATCTGTGCTAAAACCAAAGGAATCCCGAGAAATATGAAAAGCAACAGGACCAGTGCTCTCTCTTCTCTGTACAGCACAACATCAAGGTCTGATACGCACAGTTCAGGGTAAGCTGCTGTTAGCAGAGCAGCACGTCATGTGTTGATTTTGCAAGGCAGTAATGTGTTTTGGTTTCTTTTAGAGTCGGAGGCTTGAAGGACTGCACAGTACAGGCCATACTTATAAATAGTATATACACACTTTGCTGTTGGAAGAATGGCGCAGTGGTTCCAGGTAAAAGTTCAATATTTTGTAATGTAAATGTCTCTGGGCTTCTGGCTTCCTGTTTGGGTGACTGTGTTGCATCCTCAGGAGCTGAAAGAAAAGAGAAAAGGAATGAAACTGTACTTTCTGTTGCATTTCCATGTTTGGTTTTGGATGTCTTACCTAGATAAGGAATACATCTGAATAAAAATACAAAATCTCAGAATGTCTTCTTTAGCCAATGACAAGTGACTAATTAAAGGTGCCATATGTAAGACTCTGAAGCATTTTATATATTATGTTTACGCACTAATCACTTTTTATTGCCAATGAACAGGTAGTAACGTAACCTAAAAACATTATTTCTCAGTTGCCTGTGATGGACGTCGCATTTCCACTTTCTAACCCTAACCCTTGATGTTATTATTATTATTATTATCATTATTATTATTATCATTATTATCATTATGACAAACAGTGTGGATTTTAGCCAATAAAGAATGTGACAAAGATAAGGTAAGATACAAAGCAAACAATTGCTTTCTACTAGCCAAGAGCAATGCAAGGCGCCTGCAGTCTGCATACGGAGCATGAGCGTACACTCAGTTACTGTCAGTCAGCCACTGATCACAGTGCAGACTCTAACCTGCCGTTGCCCCCTCCCTTGATGATGAGGTTGGACCTGTTGACGCTGGGGTTGATGAGAGAGGCTCCTGGCAGCTGGCCTGGTCTGATGGGCTTGGCTGGGTGGGACACAGAGGGATGACATGGGTCACATAGACAGAGATCACATGTTACTCAGGGCGTTCTCATTTCTTTGTTTTAAAGTAAAGGAACAGTTTGGCATTTGTGGAAATAAGCTTATTTACCTTCTTTCTGAGAGTTAGATGAGAAGACGGTCAGACCTGCATATTATGTTTGGAGTTTGAGCAAGGGGGGGCCTAGTTAGCCTAGCTTAGCATAAACACTGAAAACAGGACTAAGTATGGCTCTGTTTGTGAAGCACTGTTTAACTGTGTGTTATAAATAAATATCTATAAATAAAGCTTTACATACTTACTTACTCTGCAGTAGTTGTGAGTATTGGGGTGAGACATTGGTGCTTAATTAACCAGGAACATTATGTATTGTTTTTTACAGTACAACAGAGGAGAGAGAGAGCTTCTCCTGATTCATCGGCGTTGAGTTTAAAAGAGAGACTGAAGTAAAAGACAATAAAAAAGTAACCAAAGTAACACTGTCACTGGCTTCCATGCTGCTTTCTTGCTTTTGATGTAAAATAGGGTACATGTTAGATCTCCTTTGTTTAATCTGCACACAAACAGAAATCACAATAAAAACAACAATTTGTGGTTTTAGTTGGAGTTACATGCTTACATTTAACAGTCTATTACACCCGGGAATTCATTGCACCTGCCTGTTTGCCAAAAAACTGTTACAGCACATAACTTGCTGTAAAAGCACATATTGTCCTGTTTGTGAACGGATTAAACAAAAGACTTGTTCTTTGGTGAGCTTTAAAGGTGTCAATAGGTTTTTATTTGAAATTTCCACAGAAATTTGGTGCACCCACGTGACAGTGGCATCAATGTTCTCATCTCACTCTCGGCAACAATGTGAAAAAGGGTATTTTAGGTGCTAAACTGTTCCTTTAATTTAATACTTGCCTGTTGCCTCAAAATACTCAGAGGAGGTTTTTCAGAATACTGACTTGCAAATCACCACATCATTACTCTACACAGCACTCACCACCTACCTATCGAGGGTCTCCTTCCCATGTTTTTGGGCTTGACAGCGTCCTTAATGCGCTCCATCTCTTGCTCGTAGCGCTTCCTGTCGCGGGCCGCGTTCTCTTTGGCCTCTTTCAGAGCAGACTCCAGGGCTTTGACCCGCTCAGCCGTTGCCCGCAGGCGCTTCTCCATTTTAGGGATCTCACCACGAAGGTCTGCGTTGTCCCGTAGCAGCTACAGAGGAGAAACAGATAGCACAGAGTGAGGAAAGAGGGTGAAAGTCACTTCTATGATCAGTTTAGGGAGGACGCACTGCATTCATTGTGTGTTTGTACTTGTTTCTACCTGCTTGTGGACTTTGGTGAGCTGCTCGAGGTTGTTCTCCAGGAAGCAGATCTTTTGTTTCTGGGCAGCGCTGCCTTCTGTGTCATCTGAGTCCATCTGAGCGTTCTGCTCAAGCAAACACACAGCTTTATCTCACTGATTTCACTCCATGTTTTACCTCTGCAGTCATTTATCAGTGGTTTCTTTCAACCTAGTGTCTCTAACCAAAACCCCCAATTCCAAAGCATTCTATCTGTGCCTAATGAGATGACAGGTAGCAGATTTGGGCGTATTCTGCGTCTTCCAGGAAAGCCTGCTTTGCCTTTGTTTATTTCATCAAGCCTCAGCCTGGGGGCTGGAGACGAGCGGCATACCGAGGGCCTGGGTCCCCAATTTACAGCTGCTACCTTTGAAGAATCAGATGGCCTACTTATTGCAGACACTTTCTGTTGTGTTCCCCGGATTCATTAAAATTTCATCATGGTGCAAATTAAATGGAGTGCAGCCGCTGGTGCATGAACCAAATATGGATTTGTTTGTCTCGTTGCAGGTAAATGTCGAAGACGGGACACCAAGAGCTCATGTGATATTTCTCCAGATAGGTGATGAAATCACACAAAAAAAACAGATCCCAGGATGACGACTGCAGGCATAAAGCAGCATGAGCAACTCACATACTGTCAGGACTTTTACCTTTTTGACTCTAGTGGCCAGGTCTTGGACAAAAAGCCTCCTGAGGTTGTGGAGTGTCTGCAGTTCTCGGGCCTGTGTGAAGGCAAGGAGAACCAGCTCAGAGAAGAAAAAAAAAACAGTTTGTAGACATTAAAGGGTTGTTGATTCACCAAAGTTACATCCAGACTTTGTCCAGATTTTGAGACATCCTCCCCTGAGATTTCTACCTCCAATCTAATATAAGTGTAGTAAATATAATTTAATTTGTGCTGCTCACAACTCTACCAATAAATGAATAACAAGAATCTCAGAGCATAATTCAGCCTTCAGATGGCTTGATATTGCTTATCATTTTAGAGAAAACAATCCGTTTTCAGTTACCTGATAGATTTGTGTGTGTCAACTCTTTTTTGTACTTACTGGCACTCACAGCATTGACAATGGGATTTAGTAAATGGTACACCAATTTTAAAATTGGAAAATAAAAATTAAATGAAATTACATTCACCACCATTGTATTTAAAATCAAATCAGATCTTTCTTTTTTGATAATTGGGTGAGTTCTATGGAAGCCCTGAGAGGCAAGTGAGAATTTTTTTTTAGAATTAAATGGAGTGCAGCCGCCGGTGCATAGAAAATTAAAAATTTTCATTTTTATCAAGTTTTGCTGGGATAATAATAAGTTCTTTGTTTATTTTTTTTCATCTGTGAAAATTTTTGCAATCTGTGAAAGTTATGGCAGATGAGAAATGTTTTTTTGTCAGGATTATTTTTCTGAGTAGTTGTAATACTAATTTCACCCACACAAAGCTATAATGCACCACTACCCTATGTTCTTAATTAATTTCTCTTAGTGTCGATTAAAATGCATTTCTAGCCAAAAGAAAGGCATGACAGTAATGTTACATAACTTGCTAAGTACATTTCGACAGTATATGTAACTTGTGTTTAGAGTGCATGAAAAACTTCAAACTCACCTGGAAGAAAATATGAATTCTTTTAGTCCTATTTAAAAGATGGGCTAGTGGTGCACTTCAGCCTCTTGTGGCTGAAATGAGTATTACAACAACAAACCAAAAAATCCCCAGCCAAAACCTTTATTTTTATTTTTACCTGCTCTTCAGTCATGAACACAGGCAAGAAAACAACTTAGACCAGACAATTCAATCACCAGATTTTTGTTTCTCACTTGCCTCTCAGGGCTTCTTTAGAACTAACCATTTAATTGAATACGTATTTAAATGGAAATGCCAATAACTGACCACAGTCTCCTCCAGTCCCTTCAGGTCCTGTCTGGCCTGCTCCCGCCTGTCCTGCAGCACCCTGCAGAGTGTAAGATGGATGTTAGTGCTAATGGCAGAATGGGAAACGGACTGTGGTAGACTATACGTAGAGGCATTACGTGAGCTCCTGCAGCTGGCGGCTCTTCTCCTGATCTGCAGCCTTCAGCTTCTCGTGCTCCACCCTCAGCCTCTCCTGCTCCAGCATGATCTTCTGGTTCAGACTACACAGATGTCAGTGACAGTATCAGTACGGAACTATCAGTCACATTTAGAGAGAGAAGTGTGTGTGGTGATGCTGTGACTTACTCCTGCAGCTCTGTGATGAGTTTCTCCTTGGTGTCCAGCTCGTCTCTCAGGCTGCTGATCTGTTTCTGATGGGTCTCTCTGTGGGACTGGATCTGTCTCTCAACAGCGTCCTGAGGACACACAAACAAACAGCTGTAGTAAGAACTTTTGAGAGCATGTGTAGTAAGGGACAGCTTAGTGGGACAATACCTTGACTTCATTGGCTGACTGGATCTCATTCTCCTTCTCCATGGTGTTGACTCTCTCTGGAAGAAGACAAGAAAATCCCAAAGGTGATCATCCCAACCAGGAAAAAGTTGTTTTTTCAATTTTGAGCCTCAATCAGACAATAGAGCTGTCCATTCACAAAAACAAAACACATCTGCTTAGATTTCTCTCCAGTAAAGTGAAATAAAGGATGGTTTTTAATGATACATCATACATCCTCTTTATGGACAACCAGCAACAAAAAGTCAAATAATATGGATTTCAATCTTTTGTGTCTGTACTTGTTTAGTGCCTTTCGACCATTTTCTACTTTTACACTACATGCCACATTCACATGCATTCATACAGAGATGGCAAAGGCCATCACATACTTATGCTAACACGTTCATCCACATTCAACTCAGACTTGCATTTAGCTCATCAGTGAATGTATTTTAACATATTAATTTCAACAAATATACAGCAGAATAACATTAGATTTATCATATTGACAACAATTTATCATTAAAAAAGTTTGAACTCCACAGAAATATACAGACTTTGTAGCAATTATACCTTTATCAGTATATGATAGATTTCAATCAACTGCTACAGTTGGCTCAGGTGCTGGATAGGGATGGGACGCTATTATTGCGATAAAAAACATTCAAATAAGTTTATCGTGGTGAATTACTATTATTGGGATAGTCGTGAATACCCTCACATGAGTGACTTGAAAAAAAGCTGCCTAGCTTAGCATAGTCCAATATCCAGATTTGTTACATATTGAATGTTTTGGACATATGAAGGAAAGCAATGGATAAACAATCCACCTGGGCAAACACTTTGCAGTTAAGAAAAAATATATAATATATATAAATCACTTTATATACACACACACATATATATATCTGTATTGATTTCCTGACATACTTTGACTTGCTACAAGGGTGAGCCCACCTCTTTGCAGTCATTCCATTTCAAACTACAGGGAACTGTGAGGTTCCTGTCTGAGGTGTCCCCTCTGTTACGCTATAAGAATATTTGTTTATTAACAAAATGTAAGGTTAAGTGATTCCCCTTTTAGCGGGATAATATTATGAATTATTTGGTCCAGGATAACCGTGAAGAAAGGTCCTGTGCCTGGGTTTGTTATATGCCAGTAAGCTGTGCTCACCCTGGGCTTTGATCCTGACTATTTCCTCATGGAGCAAGTCCACATTTTCCTCCAGCTGTCTTTTCTTCTGCTCCACATTCTGGAGGGAGTCTGTCAGGGACTTGATCTTAGCTTCATGCTGAACGCCAACAGGAAAACAAAAAAGAACACAATTATAAACTCACACTAACTCCATGACATAAACCCAGAACAAACAGTGTTACACATGAAAAACCCCATCAACTTATGAAGCTGCTGTTTGACTGATAACCACACAATTTGCCATTTTAATTAACCGCCACATTTTGTCACTATGGTGACAGTATCCATGGTGGCGGTGAGCAGCAGTTACCTGGGAGATGCGGAGCTGGCAGGCAGTCAGCTCCAACTCCATCTCCTCCATCTTCTGGGTGCTCTCGGCCTTGGTGCTCTCCAGCTGTTTGCTGCGCTTCACCATCGTCTTCACCTCCGACTTCATCTTGCTGATGTAGAGACGGGCCACAGTGAACTCTTCATCAATGTGACCGCTGCTCTCTTGTTGCTGAAAGGTCAGAAATAACATTAGGCCTTAGAAGATGTGCTTCATGTTGTCCTCGTCATTTTGTCTCTATAGCAATAATTAGACCTGTCACAAGAGTAGTTATTGCCTGAATGACTCTATAGCCTACCCATGTGCTTTTACAGTCTGTAATATATCCTCCTAAATCTGACATAAATGACAGGTGATCTCTGACCTGTGCGGTGCACAAAATAGCAACACAGAACAGACCCGAGTGTAGCTCTAGCATAGGGTAAGGTTAAATTCCCACTTGGAACTTCAGTACTGTAAGGACAATTGCCATTTACAGAGTAGCGGTACTGTATGTTTCCACAAGAGATACTCGACCTATCTTCTGCTGAGGCATGGAGTTTAAAATAGACTGGGCATGATTTTAACCCTGCAGCTGTGAGTATATGAGACACTAAAACCTGTGCAAAATGAAATGGTTGCCAAACTGCTGTTGAACACAGCACTGCAAACAAGTGTCAGTGAAGTGTGTTCATAATAACGGCCTGCAGTAGGTGTGTTTACTATTGGATAAATGATCATAAGTGCATTATTATATTTCTAAACATGAAACCAGAAGTCCATTTATCAAGAAAAATGCAGAAGATTAGCTGGATCCTTCCTATGAGGATTTGCTGCTTTTCTCCGGTTCATATCTTTGTAAACTGCATGTTTGGGTTTCAGGCTGTTGGAATTGTGAAGAGCATTTTTTTCAATTTACTGACATTTTATAGACTTAAAAATAAATAAACAAGCTACATAGTAAAAAGGCTGTAACAAGAAAGTGGATAAAACCAGAGCCACCCACCATCAGTGAATGGATACATGATATAATACATATCATATATATTATATTATATATGTATATAATATAATACATGAAATACATATTATGGAAAGGCTGTCATTCCCCCTTAAGTCCACAAAGATGTTTTTCCAGATTTGAACAAAGTGGACTGAGTACATTAAACCTATAAGGTCAGACATTAGCTAACTTGATAGAATAAATAAGTGGTAATGTGATTTAGATTACTCTTTATTCACATTTACTTTCCTTTCCTTTTCATTCTTCTCTAATATGACATTTTCCCACATTCAGTTAATAATTACAGCTAATGTTATATAAGGACATTTCTGCTGTAAATCATGCACAGTATTGTGTGAATCTACCTGCAGTAGTTGCGATATTGATCATTGTGAAATGAAAATGCTTTTCTCAAATAAAAAATAAGATAATATAAGATAAATAAGTCATCAACAAAATTTTTTGGCAACTATTTTGTAATTTTTTGGGAAAATGCATAATATTACCTAGTTTCTGCTTTTTAATTCTGAGGACTTTTCTTTGTTTCTTGTGATAATACACTGTACGTGTTTTGGGGCAAATTAAAAAATTTAAGACCCCTTGGTTGGGAAATTGTAAAAGGGCATTATGTAAACTGAATGTTTGTTCTAAATGAACTAAACATGACAATAAATAACTGCCGGCTGCAAGTATCGCATGGATGCTCAGTGCTGATGAACAGATTGTAAATGAGCAGACTAAAGGGCATAACATTTGACATCAGATGCAAACAAAGACAAAACAGGAAGCATGTGACCCAAAGGGCACATGTAATGGCAGCAGATGTTCCAGCTGCTATGATGGTGGTCATGTCAATGTCACTTAAATCAGTGTGTAGTTTCAGTTTCCAGCTCATTACGTCTCTGACAAAATGCCAGTTTATTCTTAGATTCCGTTATATTTCAGAATTTGAAACAAGTCTGGTAACCTTAATGTCGTTGCTTCCCACAGCGATGCCTATCTCAGCCAGGTCTTTGAGTAATGACGACATCATCTCCGTGAACCTCTTTTTCTGGTGGTTGGTCATCTCCTTCAGCTTCTGCAGCTCAGAGTCGATGGAGGCCAGGGAGCTCTGGAGGTGGATCATAGAATAAACAAGCACACGCCTTACAAAGTGATCATGTGTCATCACTTCCAATGGATTCAGATAAAAACAAAAAGTACCGATTTCTCATTCAGCTCCTCACTGAGAGCCTCAAACTCTCTCGCTTTGTCCTCCACCTCCTGACTCTTCTGGTCGTAGTTAACGGCCAACTCCTCCAGGGCCTGCAGCACCTCCTTCACCTCCTCCTTGGAGGCTTCGTTCTCCGCCAGCAGCCGGTTTAGCTCTGTTTGCAGGATGTCGTGATCACGGCGGGAGGAGGATAAGAGCTAGGATAGGAAGTGAAGATAAGACAGGGATGCTCAGTCTAGGAATAGGGCGAGGAGGGCGTAAAGTCTGAAAACCACAACAGAGTCTACAATTTACATTTCTGTACAGCTAAAAAAACCTCCTGTGTTCAATCTGTGAGGTTCCAGTGCTGCTTTCTGAGGGTGAGTTACAGTCTGACCTCTCCTGCAGGGCTACTAATGGTCCGCTATCAGCTGTCAGACTGGGTTTGTGCTAACAAGGAACGGCTGGAGGGCTGAAACGCGGTAGGGGGGAGTTAGGGGGGAAAGGAAGGGGGCGGGGTCGTGTCACCTCCTCCTGGTCCAACATCTGTTCATTCAGCTTCTCCACCAACTGGGACTGCTGGTTGATCTCATCGTCCTGGAGGAAGGGAAGGATGGTGGAAAGGAGAGAGGTAAAGACACATATAATCCAACAGTCATTTGTTTCCAGCGTAAGCACCAGCAATACTGAACAGCAGCCAACTACGCCATCTGCTGGCCATCAGAAATACTACACCAAGCTTTACACATGTAAGAGTATGAAAAGTAAAGACACATTTTGTTAATGCTAGCAATATCAGCAACATTTAAATATCAAATATTGCGTATAACATTATTTTATTATTTATAATATCTTAATAGTAATTCCTTACATTATTAGTAAGTCAGTAATAAATGTGAGAGGATCTGGCTTTGGAGTTTGATTGTGACATTTTGCATGGACACCGGGCACTATTTAGGTGAAATTTTAATTTCGTAAATCCTTTATGTGACGCAGCTTTTAATAACAAGCTGAGAATGTACACTGCCATTAGCTGTTCAGTCAGGCTACTCTTTTCTTGTCGTTGGAGGATTATAAAAGATTTCTGTTGGCAATGTAATTTTCTATGTAATAAGTTATATTCTTCTCTCACAAATGTTGTTTCACTATTGCAATAGTATATTTGGTACAGAGGCAGCACAAAGTTATTGTTTTGCAAGTCTCAAATAAGTCTCAAGTCTCAGCTATGAAGGCTGAACTCAAGTCCAAGTCCTAAACTTTGTACTTGGTAAACAAGTCACGATATACCCTTCACCAAATTTAATGTCATTTAAAACTTTTACACTTTTTTCCACAACAACAACAGTTTCTGTGTCAGTTTAGACCAGAAGACACTTTTTTTCTAAGTGGTTGTTGTTGTAACACTCATTTTGGCCACAAGAGGCTGAAATTCACCACTACATCATGTTCTGAATGAGACTAAACGCATTCATGTTTCCTTCCAATTGAGTTCTAATTTGTTGATGCACACTAAACAGTACATATTGTGTGCTATGTGACATTATTAAATGTCTTTTTTGGAAAATTTTTTTTAATCCCCCCAAAAGAAAGAAAACTTACCTGGAACGAAGCATGAATGCTGTTATGTATTAATGCATTATCGTGCTTGACTCTGATGCACTGACCTATTCATCAATCCCATGAGATCAATTATACTTTTCTAACGTGACCAATCAAACCATGCTACAGGATTGAACTTTTAAGTGGGTCAATACACTGCTACAGTCATGCTTGGTGTGTGTACATCATAAATATGTACAAAAAGCTTAGACTTTCTGAGAGGTCTCAATGGATGTGAACCAAACAGTGTATAGTGGATCTTCCCTCACCTTGTCATCCATCTCTTTGTAGAGCTTGGCCATCTCTGCCTCGTACTTCTCTTTCTCTGCGTCTGTGAGTTTGACTCCAGGGAGCGTGCTGAGGGCAGGTTTAGCTGGTGTCTTATCATTGTTGAGTGCGGTGTCCAGGGCCTGCACCTCTGCTTTGGCCTTCTCTTTATCAAACTGTTCCTCCGCCGGCACGCTCTCTCCTGCAGGGGGCGGCAGAAAAAGACGTCAGTTCCAGTCTCCGTGGAGGTCTGTGATGTGTGTCCTCTGTCGCTCGCTCAATCAAACCATTGTGTTAAGAGGAAGACCTGTGATAACTCTAGATGTCTCATATCTTTAGATCAGTGTAACGCAGACATGACCATGCATATTTTTTGAAGAGAACCACACCAGTATTCTTAATGGCATTGCTAATATGGAAACAAAGCGTTCTTTCTTTAGCTGTGTCCTTTTCAAGCCCAAAATAGAACCAGTGTGTGATTCAGATTTAACAAACTAAGACAAGGATACTTTGGTGCTTAACTTTTTTCATCTCTTTCAAACCATTTTAAACAGCTGATCATCTTGAATTTACATAAACATATGGAAGATTCCTACACTGCAAAACCTTTATGTCAGGCCTTAGTTGAACAGTTCTTGCTTCCTGTTCCTGCTGGGATATAACAATCTAAAATATATGTGCTCTGAACAAGTAGGCCAAATGATCCCCACTAGAGCCTTCCTAAGTCCCGCCCCTTTTTGCTCTGTGCTCCAATCACAGCAGCCTCCATCTCCTTTCTTCTTTCCTGTATATGCTATGTGCTAGGCTAGTTGAAAAGACAACCACATTTTGAAGATATCGAGCCAGCTAACGACTGACGTAATGCTAGCTAGTTACATCTGAAAAGTTGTAATGTCATGTTAGCAAAGTGCTAGCTCACCAGCTGGCTAATTTACACCATTCATTAGTTAGCTAGTTAGCGAACTAGTTGCTAATATTAGCTAACTTATGATGTGGTATACATCGCGTTTATCTTTTAACCATCTTCAAAATGCAAAAAGGAGATAGCACACATCCACTTTAAGGGCCAAAGTTCCGAGGAGGGGTCAATGTGTCCAGTGTGTAGGATTTAGTGGCATCTCGTGGTGTAGTTGCAGATTAAAGCTCCATTTCCAAGCACCAGGGAGAAACACAGTAACAAATCTCGAACTGCTGTTTGGTTTGTCTGTTCTGGGCTACTGTAGAAACACGCTGGGCTCCACCAAAAAGGTGACCCAGCAGCGTTTATAGATAAAAAAAACCACTCAATCTAAGGTAACAAAAACACAATGATTCTTATTTTCAAGTAATTATACACCAATGAAACAATTCTATGATTATTATATTCCATTTCAATCAATAGATCCTCCTAAATGTTATATACTTGACCTTTAAAACATATCCCCAAAATGAGTAGCTACAGTATCATATCAGGACAATATCACGGGCCTCTGTTTTAACACTGAGTCATAATGTAGCATTATGTAGTGCCTAGAAATGTGATATGTTATTGGCAGCGTGGTCCTCACCGTTCCTCCAGCGGTTGAGCTCGGTCTCCAGCCAGGTGACGGTGTTCTTTAGAGTCTTGTTCTTCTCCTTCTCTTTCTCCCACTTGCTCTTCCACTGCTCTGCGGTCAGCTCCACATTCAGACACACTGTGTTCTTGACAGTCTTGGCCCTGGTGAGACGGGAAAGTGAGAAAAATATCAGCAACCCAGCATAGACTGGTTTCAGTGCACCACCAACTGATGGGCTGCAGTTTCACTCTCTTTGTTTCCCCTGTTTTTATCAATAAGAGGCAAGAGACCCATATGATTGTTCAAACTTGTAATTCATTTCTTATATACAAGCATTGTACAGTACGGTATGTGTTTTCTACCCAGCCGGGAGCTTTTCCAGGAGGCTGTTAAAGGAACATTTTGGGAATCTTTGCTTCATTTCCTAAGGTTCGATGAGAATCAATAGCACTCTCATTGCTGTATGCTAAATATGAAGCCAGCAGGTAGTTAGCTCAGCGCAGTAAAATGAAAGTGGAATCAGGGGATAAAAAGAAAGTCTGGCTAGTCTTTAAAAAGCACAGTGGATCATTCTCCTCTGTGATCTCACTGATGCACAAACAAGAACATGATCCCTCACTGGCTTCCCTCGTGAACAGGCCAGGCCTTTGTCTGATTTACATTAAATATAGTTTCTTTTCTTTCTGTCAGTTATAAATGTCTGTGTTTCCACTATCAGTAACATTTATTTATTTATGGTTTTTTGTGTGTGTGTGTGTGTGTGTGTGTGTGTGTGTGTGTGTGTGTGTGTGTGTGTGTGTGTGTGTGTGTGTGTGTGTGTGTCTGTGTGTGTGTGTGTGTGTGTGTGTGTGTGTTTACCTCTGTCCAAACAGCAGCGTTGACCTGGTCTCAGAGTCATTGAAAGCGGAGGGCGAGCAGCAGATGACCATGGTGGTCCGACAGTTCCCTCCCAGAGAGTCCTGCAGGATCCTGGTCATCTTACTGTCTCTGTATGGTACATAGCTCTGACAGAGGACACAAGTTCCGCAGGGTACACGTGAAGAACATTTATTAACAGCACTGGAATATTTTCCATATTTAATTTCAAGTAGGCTGTGTTAGTATGGCCATCATTTTTAGATTACACATTATTATCACTCCTATACATTACCAACCCTCATTAAAATTGTTATGTTTCCATCCATTGAACTAATTATAAACCTTTAATCACATTAACACCCTCATTAACAGCAGTTGTGATGGTCCCTCTGAACATCCCTCAGGAAGTGCTGACTCACTCACCGAGCCCTCTGCCAGAGCTGAGATGACAATTCCCAGTGAAGACAGGGACTTATTGATCATCTTGGCTTCATCCAGCACTGTCCCCTCTGCTCCAGTTTTACCCACCTATTACACGCAAACACAGAAAGGTTCTCATAATGAGACTGGAACCAGACATCAGAAACAGAGGATTACTCTGTAACATTATAACTGGTCACAATCTGGTCCAAAAGCACAGTAAGAAAGATGATGGGGAGGCCTAATGATCATTGAATAACAACAGGATGCAAAAGGAGATTAATAAAAGAAGGCTGACAAAGTCCCTGGCTCATTCACACCTCATACTGTTGGATAGATTACTGTAGTTGCTCCCTGCTGACAGGAAGCAGAAGCAGCGGTTTGTCATTAAAGTTTCATTACATAACCAGCCAGTCAATACAGGTGAGCAAACTGTGCCTTCAGGAGCAATGAAGATTAAAAGATCAAAGGAGTAATTCCAATGCCTGGTTCTTGCTGTAACTGTGAATAGAAAAACTACTCAAAATCTACTCTTTGACTATTTTACTGGTCTAAAGCTTAGAAGCAAAATATAGGAGACAAATGTAGATGTGGAAATGGGGGAAGCTACAGAGACAGAGAGGTGGAGGACGAGGTAGAAACACACTTTCTCACTGCCAGCCAGGTCCACCAGGTACAGCTTGCCGGTGAGTTTCTGCTCAGTCTGAGTGTTTTCCTGCTTGATGTTGATGAGGAAGATGCTGTGACTCCTGGAACTGTGCTCATTCATGTCTGACACACACACAAACAACCACACAACATACAGACACATAATTAACAGTGTGCTAATCCTACATTACTAGTATCATTTATAATTATGATTAATAATAATAATCATAATGATAATAATTAAAATAAAGGTATTTCACACACAGTATGTAATTTCTGCCACCAGGGGTCTCTCACATCAAAACAATAACACAAAATGTAATTTGATGATGTTGTGAAGTACCATGGGATCATGGGAGGTTTCATCGTGACCTATACCTACCTGCTATAAAAAATACAATTGAATTGAAACTATACCTATAAATTACTATGAAAGTTATCCTGTATGAATGATAAGAAATAGCTATTTATACACAACACGTAAATTATTTTGGGTGATTTATTCTATTGCCTATTGATAGACAAGGTACTTTTAATTTTAGACAATATTAGATTCAAAAAGTAAACTACAATCAAGTTGTGAAATCAAAGAGACTCTGAAGACGCACCAAAGAGATTAAGTCTGGTTTAGCCTCATTAAGCCAAATGTCCAGGATTAGAAAGACGTATTGACATCACATAGTGTGTATTATTTAATTCATGCCTATTTTCATTTCACTTCTCTTTCCTGGTCGAGTGGGTAGAACAGACTTAGTGTCTCAGCTGATGGGAGTCTTGCTGCAGTCAGGAGACTCGGTGAGGTTGAACCCGTGAGAGGCAGCCACACTGAAGGCACTCAGTGTATGAACTCACTTGTGACAGCCACGATGCGGTTGTTTTTGCCTTGCTCTATGGTGTCCATGACCTCGTCAGGACTGCACACAAAACGCTCGGTACACCCCTGGGGACACAGGGCAATCACAAGGAAACGCTGTGTTCAACAGCCCCGCAGAGGGCCGGCTTTACAGAGAGACAATTATTAGCCGAGGAGACCATGACATACAGTAGTTATGAGGATAGAGGGTTCTTATTACTTACTTTTCTTAGTATTATTAACTTTACTAACTATCAGCTATATAAAACCTATAGCTGAGAATGATACGAAAGAGAAAAAATCTTATTGACTGATTGTAAAAGTCTGTATTAAACATGTTATGTAACTTATACTCTCATCGTGCAGATCACAGTTGTGCCATTGCTTTGATCATATTCTCTAACAGTATGTCATTCATAGCTAATGCATTACAACCGGCTGGGACAAACTTGTGACTGAGTGATAAAAAAAAATCAATGCTGCACCTTAAATAACATTTCTCAACATTAAAACAACCCCCCCACGTGTCTCACCTTGACATAGGGCACCCTGTTTTTGTCCTCGTGTACGGAAAGGTTGGTCTTTGTTACTGCGGAGGAGAAAGAAAGCAAACATCACGTCTGAATGAATCCTCTTTGTTTGCGTCTGGCTCTAATTCATAATGATTAGACCCAAAACATACCATCCAACAAGTCCCTGATTTTGTCCAAATAAACTTCAAAATATGAAACCTGCAAAGCAAAAGCTTCCAATCAGACTTAAACAACAATGACGTGTGCTTGACATTTAAAAGCGTCTGAGCCCCTGGTTGACATGTTAACATACTTTGATATGAAACTCCAGGTTCTGATCCATGGAATAAATGTAGTTGAAGATGTCTTGAACAATTCTGGGAATGACTCCCATCATGTTTGGGTCATGGAGATTCCCCTTTAGGAGACAATTATATGAAAAAGTATAAATGAGACAGAAGGGAATTTCAGGCTTTTCAGTCACTACTCTTAGTATTTTTGTCCAGTGGGAAACAGCTGACACTTCATATTACCTCCATTGTGTGTGTTTTGCCAGAGGATGTCTGCCCATAGGCAAATATGGTCCCATTGTAGCCATCCAGCACATCTGCAAGCATCAAGCCAAAGAAAACACACATTAAGTATTGAGGTTAAGGCGTGTATTTCCAGGGTTTCAGTGTGTCAGCCAATGAGAATACATCTGTATTCTACTGTATGTATCTTACCTTTGACAATCTTCTGAGCCACAGCGTTGTAGAATTCCTCCTGAGTTGTATTGGACTGGAACACACGGTCAAAGTAGTACGGTTTACCCTGTGAAGGAGAGGTGGCAGTGATGAGCACCAGAAACATGCCAATGTGAATTGACCCTTCCTAAGCCCCGCCCCGGCCCCAGGTAAGTTAGTGTTTTGCTAACATTAGTTATCAGATGTAACAAGCTGGTTAATGATACATGTAGATTAAATTTGAATTGCTAACATGCAGTGAAGCAGGGATGTGCCTGAAAAGGTAGTGGCTAGTAACTGGTAAAAAAAATACTCCAGTAAATCCTTCATTAATTGTAGCAGCATACATGTTGGCTACATGCTGAAATCTTCCTGTGGTCTGTTTTATGCTGAACAAACAGAAAGACCTTTAAAGATTAGCATATCTGAAAATGTGTCCCTGAAATGTGGATTATACTATTGCAGCTCTGCAGCATCATTTAAATTATGGGGAATAGAAAAAACTGTCCCCCTCTCCTAGAGGAGGTGACCATCAACTCACTGCTCTGCAGAGAGACATGAGCATGCGCATGAGCATCTATAATTTGCCAAGGAAATTGGTAGTTTCAACTAATCTGTATACAGACATAATGACATATCATAAAAGCTCACCTAGCCTACACTCATACAGAGATTACATAAACTTCCACCATGAGCCTCCAGAACGGCTTCAGTGAGATGAACAGTATTCTAACATATTCGCTCATTTAGTGTTTTGATGATGTGCTAGAGCGCTCTCCTATACTGTAGGTGTTCAGTTGAGTTGAGATATGTTGACTGTGAAAGCCATAGTATGATTTCACTCGTTCATCATTTTCATCCTCATCAAAACGTTCAGTGAGACCGTAAGCTCTGTATGGAGGATTTCTTTGTTTCTCCACTCATTCATTTATTGAAATTACATTTTGGAACAACAACATTTCAAAGTCATCTTGTCAGACTCAACTTTCGTCAGAATAAGTTTTACTTTTTTTTTTACTTAACTAACAAAATCCAGCCTAATCTGCGTTTTGTGAGCTTCATCATGTTTATTGCTAACATAGCATTCTAACAAGCTAAAATTATCATGATTTTTTTAAACTTTGATTTCTTCTTTCATATACCAAGTCAGACACTGCGACAAATACGCATGAACCTATGTAAATACATTAGCCTGTTAAGGTTAGCATTAACCCCAAAGTACTGTGTAAGTAAAGTGCCGGTGAAGTTGAAGCTGAAGAAGTAGATAAAATGGATGCAATGTAGTTTAAAGTTAATTTCAAACTAAAGTTAATTTAAAGTTTAGTTGTTAATTGTCAGTGTTCAGTTGATGTTCTTGCTGCATTCACATGTAAGAATATGTGGGTGTGCAGAACATACCTTGCATTATACTTGAAGCAGGTGCACTGCACCACATGCTTCGCTGATCTGTTGAGATATCACTTCCTTATTTCGTGGACGGTGTAATAAATAGTGGGCGTAGCCACCGTCACCCATTGGTTTGTGTATTGTCATAAAAGCCTTGAGTTTGACGTTATGGCTGTCGTCATCTGTTTTTTTTGTGAGAGGGTGGAGCTGGCTAAGATACGCATTGCTTCCCTCTATCCTGATTGGATCTGACTGACAAACCGAGGACTCGTGGTATAGCGACTTGTCAATTACAAGGTAGCCACGCCCTAAAGTATACCCTGCTTTATTGTCTATTTCACTGTAAATAGGACCAACATTTACTAAATGAACATCATGCTGTATGGAAGAAGACTGAAACTAGCAGTTGAGACCATAAACTCATTAGAAAACTGTTTACTGAGCTAATAAATCAAGAACGAGTCATCCAAACTCCTTTTTGCAACCAGTGGAGCTGCCCTCTGCTGGCCATTAGAAATAGTGCAGGTTTTAGGCACTTTTGGATTGGCTTCACTTCTGAGACCTGGAAGCCCTGTGCTATTTATTAAACAGTCTTCTTTGATAGATAAATAGACAGACAGACAGACAGACAGACAGACTAGATAGATAGATAGATAGATAGATGGATAGATAGATAGATAGATAGATAGATAGAAAAAGACAGACAGATCAACCTAGTTACACAGGGCCTTATCAGCCTCCTGGGATACCTCATTACTATGAGCTACACCTCACTGAAGGCACAGAGCTACAGAAACACGATACAAGCAAAGACAGGAGAGGAAGGAGAGTTTGTATCATTGCATATAAAGTTCTCTCTTCACAGCCAAAGTTCATAAACCTAATTTATGGGTCACCTTAAATTGTTAAAATTTTACATTAAGTCTGATCTAATGTTCCACAGATACAACCAGAGCTCAAAGCAACTAAATGAAGGTTTGTCTTACAGTAAATGTGTGTTTGGTAGTTGTGACTACATTATAAAAACTAGAACCGAGGACAAACTCTATCTGTATTATTTACTAAGGAAACATTTTATTAATAATGATCTGAACAGTGGAAGAAGTGGAACACCTATTTCAGTAAATCTTCTGATCCCAGATCTGTACATAGAGCAGCACACTCACCGCAATGATCACACAGTCATCCCCTTGAAACTTCGGGATGTACTTGTCTCCCCGGGCCACCTCCGACCTGTTCAGCGGCCTGAAACGGCACACCACCTTGATAGAGGTCTCCGCCGCGTCCGCCATCTCCGCCGCTGTGGCCTGATGGAGCGCTCCGTCCTCCCGTTACACAATCCAGCAGGTAGCCCAAGGGGAGGCCGCGCCCCTGACACTGAGGTTTGCTGACTGGGGAACTGTGTTAAAGTAGTCCTCAAAAAGTCCCACTAAGGCTGGACGTGAGACGTGAGATTTTAAATATTAATTTGTAGAATATTATTTTTTTGGTTTGTTTGTTACAAAAAACATAATTTAGTTGAAATCGCTCTTAGTCTATTTACAAAGGCTCTCATAACTCAATGTCAGCTGCACAAAATTATTTAAAAAATGAGGTAGAACTAAAAAAGGAAGAAAGTTGCAAGGCGTCCACTTTGATGCTCAGAATGACTAGAAATCCAGCTGTGATCAGGGTGGGACTAAAGAATGGACCACAGTCACATGAACAGTCACATGGAACTTCGGGATGACAAACTAGGATCACTGTAGTCTTTCTGCTTGCAGTGTGCAGAGGTCAAGGGCAGCTATAGATTTGAGAGCTGGTTTAATAGAAATACATTTGAGTTGTCAAGTGTTCCTCAGTGCAGTGCTCCATTACTGTAAACCAGACAGTGGAGGAGGGCAGATGTGAAATATTAATGCCTCTCCATTACATCAGATTATGTCCGCCTGTTCCCGCAAAATGCTTCATTGCACCTGAATCACTGTACCCAGAGTCGGTCCTGACCTCCCCGGGGCCCTAAGCAAAATATCTACTACCTGACCTGTGAGCTGTGTAAACCATTTGCCTTTTCCACCAAACACCCCAGTTCTCCCACTACAATCCTCCCTCCTTTAAAACAGTTTGCTCCATCTGTCTAAAAATTGATTTACATACAGTAGAATGACGTATAAACGAACAATATTTATTGAATAGAATATTTTCTATAGAATCTTTAGTGAATATTAACTCTAACATTGTAGAAAATATAAATGTAGAAAATAACAAAAAGAGAAAACTGAGCTTTGGCTCTGCTGCCTGTTAATTAGTCCAGTCCTCACAATATAATAACATTAGCTTTAGCTATACAGTGTAAACAGAAGTCTATAGGCTCTGGCTGCAGCTTTAAGTCTCAGAATAACTACATTCAAAGTAGCTCCCCAAGATTTCCTTTTATAAATTTTTTTCAAATACGAAATACTATTTATACTATGGCTTGGCTGAATACTTGATGGTTGTTATTTGCAGAGAAATGTGTATCCATATTGCCTGGTATGACCAGCTAATCAACATTTAAATTCAGTAATTAATCAATAGTCGGTGTTAATCCATTGCTTTCCATCTTGCATTACAGAGTTGTAAATAAACCTTGACTGACTTGCGTAGTAAGCGTATAGGGCCGACCTCCTACCTGTAAAATGTACCTGATATTTGTGCTAACTACTGACTACATGCTGTATTTCAGTGGCTTACTTGAATACCTGAAATAATGTCTGCCTTGCACACACACTTAGTGTCACTGCCTTTCTACATGTGCCTTTTCAAACAACCAATGGAAGTTGTCAGCCTATTATTTCATTAGAGAATGAGCATGTTGAAGACAGGCAGAGGGTGTTTCTGTTATCAGAATGTGGTGTGTGCATTGGCCCTGAGACTGGACAGCTATATAATCAGATGTAGCTTCTTTGAAAGGAAAATTACAGATCTGAACAAACTGTGTTGGCATTGTTGATAAGAAACAAAAAGTCCAAGCTAAATATGTCCACAGCCACACTTAAAAGAATGAGCTGAGAGAGCTCGATGATGAGGCCGTCACTTGTGCTGTTACACTGTCTGTGGTGCCACAGTGTTGACTGAGTAACTGCATAAATAAATCAGATAAATTGGAGATAACATACATATATACATATATACATATATATAAATGACAGTGTGAAAACAAATCAGTTGTTGCAGGTTTATACTATTAATTATGTTTCTTTAGAGATTTTTGCTCCTGTTTGAACCCTCCCCAGAATGCCTCATTACAAATTAGGTCTGACTTAATCAAACAGTCAAGGAGCAAGGTTATTATAATTAACTTAGGCTAGGTGTAAAAAAAATATTATTATTATCAAACATTCAGTTAACTGAAATAAAATTAAAACTAGACTTTAGAAAAAAACTAAAACGATATTGAGTACTAATATAATATAAACCAAAACACTAATAACTAACAACTAAACTAATGAAAACTATAAAAATATATCAACTCTGTCAAGGACTCTCCAAAACAAACATTAATAATACTTTATTAATCACTGTTAAACTTATTGTCAAAAAAAAAACCTAACACAACAGAGGTCTAATGGGCCGACCAAAATAAGAACTAGGACCGAATGATCTGGGTTCTTTCTGTCTACCCTAAAGCAACCTTAAATGAACTAAACCCAACAAACAGAAATAAAGCCATCAAAACAGGACTACCAGTCCCATCAGAAAGTAAAGGAACAACAAAACAACCTGGAGTCAACATGACACAGAGTCCTGCCACAACACAAACTTCTGCTCAGGGCCGGAGAGTGCAACAGAGAGTGAGGTTGCTGCCCCCACTTTATTGGTTTATCCCTCTAAATAAGCAGATCAGCTACACCTGGGGGAAAAACAGGACAGCATGAATTATCTTCTTATGCACCTCATAACCAATGGGGGGGGGGTGTGACATTTCCATCAAGCTATTAGATTTAAAATGGTTAAATAGTCAAATTTATCTTAACTGCTTCCTGAATTGATGTCACCCAACCCCAAAATGCGACATTATACTCACATCATCAAATAACACAATGTGTAAAACATCTAATGTTTCTAAATGGGGGGGTGTGAGGCTCAAAAAGTCTTTCTGGTGCCTCGGGGCAACAGTATGCAGTAGAAGGTGCAGCATAAAGCAGCCAGCAGGGGTCAGCAGAGGCTTTCAATACGTGTGCAGCCAAGGTGGAGCTGAAGGACTCCTGTATGTCCTCCCATCAAATATATTACAGTTGAAACTTGACACAAACCATCTCTGAGCAATAGCAGGATTTTTTTGGTATTGTCTGTATGTCTTTCATCTAACACAATTTGAATGCAGTGACAGGGGTTTAGATGGGATATTAATTTTATAACATGTCCCCAAAAAATAGCCTTTATTACTGTAAATATAAAAAAGAAATTAGAGTCATTATGGATGTACATTTTTTTTTATTCCATAGAAACTGCAGCATTAGACAAGTGCTGAAGCCGTAAACCATGTTGCAGACACACGCACAGACACCAAATCACACTTTTCCCCCCCCACTTTCACACACACCCTCATTCACACACATTCAACCGATGCCGAGCACTGGTGCAGTGAGACGAGACAGTAGAACACTGAGTCAGGAGTAACACAGTCAATCAAAAAAGAACAAAACAGGATGGGAGGGGTCATTTAACTGAAGTGCACCATCACACTTTAACAGCACGCAGAGAACTCAGGGGGGCTTTTACTTTTGTGACACCGACTGACCTCCAAAAAATGGCGTATTGTCCTTAATGGATAGAAAATATAAATTATTACTACAGTAAGTACATTCTCTAGATTAAGAGCCATAAATATGCGTTTGAGAGCTCAAATTACAGTATGTACAGAGGTCCATGCGTCCACAATATACATACAGAACAATAAATATCGGATATAGTCACAATACAGCATCCAGGTGGATATTTGTTTTTCTTTGAACAGGTTAAGGGTACAGCAAGACATGGCAAGAGTCAGCATTCATAAACCAGCTGAGGAAAGGCATTCACAACCGGTATCTGTCTGTTATTAGTGTTTATTAAAGGGGTTGCCTTGGTTACTGTTGTCCTGGCTCCAAAAGGCATGTGAAGAGGAGAGGAGAGGAGAGGAAATGTTTTTGGGGGAAGAAGCACCAGTGAGCTTGTACTCCAGGCTTCAACCTGACTCACAATAAAAAGAAAAAGAGAGAGGGAAAGAGGGAGATAGAGTGAAAAAGAAGAGACTGATAGGAGAAAAATGTGAGATGAGAGATCAATCACAACCCCTGTTAAGAGTTCATCCTTTGACCAGTCAGTCAGAGAAGGAGGGGGGAGAGAAAGAGGTGTGTAGACATATGGAGGAGTGAGGGTAGTGTGTTACTGTGTGAGTGAAAATGAAAGAGGGTGGGGGGGGAGACAGGACCTAGTTTTGGCAACGTGGCTTCCGGTTGCTAAGTAACGGTCTCCGAGGGCAGAAGAAGCGCTTCTTTGAGGGTGTTCGTCTCCAAAATGAACAATTTTCACCCCATCCCTCCTCCACCTCCACATCCACCTCCGCCCCCCCCTCCCCTCTGTAAGAGAAAGCCTTTCCTGAGCGGTTTGCAAATGCTGGCACAGCGAGAACAAGCAATTCATAGTCACAACTTGTCAGCAAACAAGGCAGTCAAAGTGCAAAGTTGGAACTGGATACCTCCTGTGTTATTTTTCTGCAATGTCCTTTTTCTGAAGCACAGAGCCGGTTTGTCCTTAACAGGCCACAAGCAACAAGCTAATGCTAACAAATAATAAAAAAACAGTTCTTGGCAACAAAATATCTACATCAGTACATAAAGCACAGCATTTGTACTATGGGAGACATGAGAGAACAAGCTGCACCGTCCACACTGTTGATGATGTATCACCTGGACATCAATTTGATGAATCAATAAATGAATCAATATGCAATGAAAAATAAAATATTCAGCAATTCAACATTTAAAAGAAAACATAAGAGAATCAGTCGTTTGATGCTGCGGACTTATTTTGAAAATGTATGAAATCTGCACACTACTGTATCAGCTCATTAAAATTCCACTCATTAAATATTCAGTGCTTCAGAACCCAGATATTGCCTCATCTGTTTCAGACTGCTGCCCACTGCAACTACATGCAGAGGCGAGTGGGAATCTAGCTGGGGTTGATCACTAAAAAGCCTTTGCAGATGTTTCACTACTAAGCTGTGTTATTGTGCCTGCATCACTATCATTATCAACATCACACCACAGAAAGGGTCAATTAAATTCCCGTGCTTTTGTGTTTCAGTGTTTTGCCAAGTCCTTGCTGAAATGAAAAGTCTGGTCTTGTGATGTTCCTAATTTAAAGCAGATGCTAATGGCACATTTAGCACAGAGCATGGGCAGCTGGCTGTGGATGGGTCTGCTGAGCTATTTAATTGTGTCTCCATGGAGGAGGACGGGTCTGTGTGGACATAAATTGAGAGTAAATCCAAATTTCAGACACTTGAAAGAACTCAAGAAGATTAAGCTGATATTATGAGCCACTGTTGGTTCTTAACGACCTAAACTTAACCCCCCGGGACACTAAATATAGTTAATTCAATCTTAGCATGAGATCCAAACTGATTTAAACATACTGGGTCTATTGTGCAAGGATCCTCACACACAGAAACCAAAACCTGGGCAATCCTGCGTAATGAAACACTGTGAGCCAAGTTGCCATGGTCCAAACACAGATGTGGGATTAGGAGACAAAAGGGAAGAAACAGGAGCAGGTAAAATATTGAGTGTAATTAAAGCTGAGTTTAACTACTAGTGTGTTTCTTTGGGGGCTGGATGAATTTCTGCAGCTTAGTGAGCAAGAGCAAGCTTATCATTTTTTGCCTTTACCCTCCAGAATCTTTCAAATAACCCCATACTGAGAACAGCACTAGTGCAACAAGTATGCAGAAGAGGGATTTATGTCATGACTGCATCTAGAATGTTCAAATATGATAACAAGGTAACACTTTATTTTACAAATCTGTAAATTTCTAATAATTTTCAATTGTCTAGGAAGTTTCCTGGAAGAAGAACAGTGTAATTTGAACCTTGGTCAGCTTTCTCCTTTCCTGTACTTAGATATGCTATGTGCTAAGCTCGTCTATGTTTAAAAGACAACCACAGATGCTTGAAGATGCCTAAAATAAAAAAAAAAAAAACAGCTATACTAGCCTAGCACATAGCATATCTAAGTACTCTACAAGAAAGGAGAAAGTTGACCGAGGCTTGCTCAACTGTTATTGGAGAGCAAAGCAAAAAGGGGCGGTACTTAAAAAGGGTTCATTATAGGAAAAATGATCAGTTGGTACACTTCTATTAGGCTAACAAACTCTATGCTAAACTTGAGACTGAGCATGCAAACATGTAAAATGTGTCTACTGACAAACATACAATACAACATATATGAAGAATACATTTTCCAAGTGAATAGTTAATATTTAGTTCAAGGACCTTTCTCTAAAAATCAAAGAAACTCAATTGAATTTACTAACAATCTCACAATTTTGTCTTTATTACAACTGTAATTAGCACCAAATCACATTGTACTTTCCAGGAAACTTTCAATAAATCATAAATCATCAAGTGGTACTAATAACTATGGCATGAAATGGATCCTATTGGTGAAGCTACTGGAAACAAATAATTAACCTTCAGTTTGTTTTGTGTAACCCTATAAATCAAAATGGTATGGCCTTCCATCTGTGGAAGGCAATGTATTCGACCTTGGTGGACAGAACCATTCTCAGGGTTTAAGGGGGATTATCTTCTTGTCAAGCATTTCCAGTCAGCTTAACTTGCTGTCATCACAGAGTAATACACGTACAAATGATATAGTTGTAAGAGACCATCAGCTGCATGTTTTCTATCCTAATTGTATATGCAGGTTTAAACTCTGGTCTCTCACCTTAGATTCCCTGTGCACATTTATCAGGTAACCAGTGGGAGAGACTTAACAGCCAAGGCACAGTACAGAGCCATAAATTAGACAGTAATAAAGTATGTTTACAGGCCTGACGAGGGAATGAAAACTGTCTGATGACAAATAAATAGTTGCTTAAACTTGAATTCATGTTTCAAACCATACATTAATTGAGGCCTCCACTCTCATAAATCCTCAGCTCATAATGCTGCCCCTTTGAGCTGAATAAGAACAGGGAATTCCAATGAACATCTTGTCTAGGTTTAAATCAGGCATTCGTATTATGAAAACTGTTATCAGACAAAGGTGGAAAGTCTATATGCAGATGTGATAATGCACTTGGTACACAAGGGGCAATAATGTAACTCAAGTTATCTTACAGAGTGATAGCTTATCAGTGTTGGACTCAGAGCATTTTCAGACAGATTAGTTAACAGGGGTGTTTTTTTCCCTAAAAATTGTAACTTCAGTAACTTCAATGCAGCTGATTGCACTGCACCATGGGTTGTAATGTGACACATTATATCAAAACACTAAACAATAAAAGCAACTGTTGATTTTTCATATCAGAGCTTGCACTGGATGACAGTGTGGTTATGCTGGATTATGATTGTGATGACTTATGATGCATCTTAAGAGCAAACATAAAGCTTTTTCATAACAGTGTTCAGAGAGGAGTATTTTGGTCAATAATTCATAGATGGGGAACTAGAAGAAGCTGAACGCTCCAAGGCCTCAGTCTGCTGTTAATCTCCAAAACACACTGCAGGTCAGTCCACAAAACTTCAACAGCAAAAACAAAGAATAAATACCTTAACACTCATCGAAACATGTTCCAGTTCCTTGGTTTTTACAAATAAAATACATACAGTACTTGTTTATTTCTTTAGACAAATGCGTATTGTTGTTTTATAATATTTTTATATGTACATTTTCAGTAGTTGTTGTTACATAGATAGTATTTCAGCACAGTTTAAGAACTTGAAACCACACAGGGGAACAGAGATGCATAAAAAAAAATCAATCTTTTGGCTTGTAGGTCAGTGTTATTCTTTCACCTGCATTTAGTAATACCAAACCTTAAGTCAAACTGTATTTGCAAATACTTTCTGATGATTTGTTTTAGCTTTCTTACGTGATTGACAGATAGTAAAGTGAGTAGTTAGAGTCTGGCTGCACTAAAGTTCTGAAGGCCAGTTGCACTCATAATGCATGTAAATTATGCCTTACAGGACATGGGTGGTGATGTTCTTTATTTTTCTTACTAGAGCACCAAATGTGGATTAGTGAACAGCTGAAAATAGTCCTTAACAAAAAAGCTCTACTCACTCCTGAGTAGCATAACCTAAAAAATACTGTGCTCAGCTGTTTTGTGGAAACTGGTCTTTGTTTAAATTAAAGCTATATATGTTACCTGCTTTTAATTGTAACGCGTTAGCAAAAAATTGCCAATTTACACATGCAGCAGACAAGTCACAATCCAATAGTCATTCTCTTTTAGCTCAGTGGAAAAAACCTAGCTCTTTAGTTGTGAATTGCTCTATTATGTCTACCAACTAATCGCTAATTTTGTCTGTCTGTCCGTCTTTGGTGCTGTCGTGGCTGCAAACGAGGCTGATTAGAGAATGAACCAAAACAGCAAAGTTGTCGGCGATGAAACCAAAACAATGCGCTGAAACATGCTAAAATGCTACGTAGAGATGTGGGAAATTCTCTGTGGGTTCATCGCAACACCTTTCATATTAAACACTGACCATTGTCATTGTTATTCAAAAATTGTTATTAAAAATCATATTGACTGATGCTGCTTTAATGATTACATCTTCAATAAGAATGAATCAATGGGCTTGGGGCTGAGTAGGGTAGTCAAAATGTGTTGAGAGATGGATTAACGCGTTAATAATACAGAATAACACCAGCCTTAATATTTCACACCTCTAACAGAAACGGAAAAAGATGCTAATTTATTCCACTATCTACCACACTGTGCTGCACAGTTATGTAGCTGACAGTTTTGCAGTTTTACTGTACATACAGGTCTGAACTCGATGCATACTGACAAACCTGCATTTCACTGTGCATGTTAAAGAAGCTTCATAAAGCATGCTAAATGCTAAATCACGGTGGGTTGATGCAGGTGTGACCCATTGCATTGCGATATGAGGATAAAACCCCCACATTTCTCAGAAGACTATTAATATCCACAGTTAAGGCTCAGTACAGATATGCTCACATCACACAGAATTCTGTGTATTTCATGGCCATGCTTCATGAAAACTAGAAAAAGCATGAAATAAATAAGACAAACAGCAAAAGTATCATTGTACTGGCTTCTCATACAGGACTCGCAAACGGATGCACAGGCTACTCTAACTGCATAAAGGCATACCATAGAGTATTTTAACCCTTTACCCCAGGCTGGAAGATAAAAGTATCTGTGCTGCAGACTACAGCCTGGATATATTGCATACATAAACCAGAAGGTAAACCCTTCTGAAAAGCCCACCAGCCAAACCATTGATTTCTTTTCTCTCTTGTTTCACACATACGGAGAAAGCCTACAGAGCAGACAGAGACTGAAACTATCAAGCACACTGATTTTTTTTAAACATTCACTTGGTAAAACTAACAAGTCCTTCGGAGTATAGCAACAATACAGGGGCACAGTTTTAACTGAGAGGACTATCGTTCTTCCTTGGCTGTCCTCGTTTGGACCCACAGTGTAAGGTGTTGTCTTCCAGACCCAGTCATATAGAAGAGAAGCTGAGAGGCGCAATACCATTATGGTTAAGCAGAACACAGTAGCATTAGTTTCACTCCCTGATCTGCCTCCATTGTAGGACTATGTCTTGAATCAGTTTGATTTACAATCTCCCTGGAAGGACTCAAGTCTTCTGTCAAAACAGAAAACAACAGGATAGGCTTCCCTATAAATAAAAGTTTGATCATTGATCGCATTGCTTTGCCTCTACTGCTGAGGCAGGGTATTGGGAAACCATAACTGTATCATAGTGGTGTAACCTTGCTGTCTGTAACAGTAACAATACAGATTTGACAGTATTAAAATGAACTGGTGAAGAATTTAAGAACTGAACCCAGTAGCTGTATGAAAGTTCCAACAACAACAAAGCCTTTGCAGCGCAACCTCCAATTCTATTTTAAAAGGGTCAACACATCAACCGGATGTTAACAGTATAGTGACATCCTACTCCGCCGCATGGCCTCACTGATCAAATAGGCTGGGCTGATTTCCGGTTCCTCCGTCATCACCACAATGTTCTGCCACTCTCCACACTGGTTGGATTTCTTGATGGTATCCACCACGCAAAGAGCATAAAGACAGTCCTCAAAGGTAGCAGCCATTGTCAGAGGCCTCCCATCCCATGTCCTCCTGTCGTCTTGGTCCTGAAAGGCCTGCCGCACAGCCTGGATCATGCGGATCGTTCCGGTAAGATACGGGGACGGAATGTCACTGAAGGCCTTCTCCGGTAAGGAAGCCTTCTCTAGAGGTGTGGTGTCTTTAAGCAGGAGTTCAGGACCTCCCCCGCTTCCTCCACCCCCACTGTTCTTCTGTCCGTACAGGTCCGTCCCAATGACCGTTAACCTTCCGACCGTCCCCACAACGATCACCTCCTGCCGAAACTCTCCGGGCACGTTGAAGTTGAGCGTGACGGTGCAGCAGGCTCCTCCTTCCAGTACCATCTGGAACGTGCAGAAGTCGTCGCTGGTGATCTGACGGATACCCCGGATGTGATCTGTTTGTTTGACAAAGGTTTTGAGGAAGCCATGGACTTTTGCTGCACGCTGACCAGTCAAAAACGTAAGCAGGTCGATGATGTAACTGCCCACCGAATGCAGACCACCGCCTCCCATCAAGTCATCGCAACTCCAGTTGTATTTCTTCCCCAGGAGACTACCGCTGTGGACCTTTAGGGCAAAGAGAAGAAATTGTGACAACATTTTTTGACACTGTATTAGGTCTTTTTTCATTTGAATATGATCAGGACAACAAAAGAAAAAACATGAAACTGTTGGGGTACAGTTGGGATGGTCACTAATTCCTTGCCAGCTCAATCAGTGCTGCTCTCAAACTCAAACTAACCTCAAAAGAAAGTATTACATTGTTGTCATTGTTATAAATGGCAAGAAAGCAACTGAAAAATCTCAATTTCATTTATAGTTTTTGTCGTACCTGGGCCTCACAGACCAGAAGCTCCCCGATGTACCCTTCCTCTAACAACTCCTTCATCCGCACAAAGGCTGGCAAGAAACGTAGCACATTTCCCATAATGCTCAGCAACTTGGGGTAGTACTGGGCTGCCGACATCATTCGAAAGGCATCCAGAGGCGTTGCTGTCCGGTCGCAGATGACGTTCTTTCCAATACCTTATAAAAGACAGGAGAGACAGTTGGGAATGAGCCAAGTGAACTTTTGCTGTCAAATTTCAGTGTTTTGACAGTACTGTTTCTTGCTCTACTTTCAGTGTAAAGATGAAGGAAGGAACGAGAAAGAGAAGTAATGTAGTCAGCCTTAGCAACACTCGCAGACATAATATCCGCTTGAGCATAAAAACATCCCCTGAAGAAACAATGCAGAGTTAAAAAATGTAGCAACTCCCAGAATAGCTGACTCAAGAGTTCCTAAAACTATCTGGGCTTTCTCCTCTGAGTCATGGGAATTTTATGACAGAAGAGGGTTCTTGCAAGAAGACACAACATACATGTACTGTACTTAGCAGGAGTGTTCCAAGTCTGAGACTGTGGGCCTCCTCTGAGACAAAGCTTGTCTCCTGACTCCCTTTAGTTTACTTGCTTAGTTTCACTCAATTCTGCCTTTCGGATCATCATTATGGTATTTGATCCTATAGACACTCAACAATTAAGCCAAGATAGTGCAATTCTGATGCAACTAAAGACAACACCAAATATACAATTATAAGTTACTGAATCTAGAAACATTTGAAATTAACTATATCTTGAACCAAATTATGCAACTATTCTATGCAATCTCCTTTTAACTAATGTAATAACTAATATAATATTTTTTCACTTCCATTCACCGAGCCACTGTGGAACCCTGTGATTTGAATCTAAGTGAAAGGCTTAAATGTTGGCAAGCATGCAATAAGTTGCAGTCATAACTGTGTGGTATAAGCCAAGACTGCAGAGCCCAGACAGCTCATAGATGCTTCGCTGGTAATACCGGAGGACTGATGGAAGACTGATAAAAAGACGAGCACAGAAGGTGCAGAAGAGACGGAGAAGGAGGAGAGAGGCTGTAGACACAGTGTGAAACCTAATTAAAATCTCTTCCAGCACATTAAAAGGTCCACTGGTGCCAGCAACACCCAAACACAACTGTGAGAAGACTGACAGAAACACTTTTCTGTTATGACATTTCCTTTTCACTGGACAGTCAACTGGATGGAGACAGATGGGAGCCAGTAAATGGCATGCAAAATATAAAAAGCATTTGAACCTGACCCTGCGCTGTCATAGAAACATATTATTTTCGTTAGGATCAGATCATGTTAAAGAGTTCGGTCTAGACCTGCTCTATTTGAAAAGTGTCCTGAGATAACTTCTGTTATGAATTGGCACTATACAAATAAAATTGAATTGAATTGAATTGAATTGAATTGAATCATTTTCATTATTGATTAACCTGTTGATTATTTTTTCAGTTTACTGATTAATAATTCAGGCTCTACATTGTCAGAAATGTCAAACACAGTTGCCCAATTTCAGGAATTCTTAGGTTCTTCAAGAGGAAGGAGTATAATATGCAATATGCAAACGTGTTAATAGTACAGCCTAGCACAGAAGACAGAAAGCCTTTTCTGACTTTGTAATGAGACCGACCAACCCATGAGCATATGTTGAATCATTGCAAGTATTGATGAAGACATGCTTTTATGCATCAAAATTGTCCAAATGTAAGTAATTATAGATTTTCTCCAAACAACAGTTTATGAGAGCAGCAACTGTGGCCACAAGTGACATTTACGGGATAGATAAATGCTAAAATGCAGTGTAATAGTAGCACAAGTAGAGAAGAGTCATAAAGTTAGCAGACTTTCAGTATTGTCCATTACACAGCAATCTATTATGAGTTTGCTAACATTAGCCAAAATTAGCCCATCTTTGGGCCTGTCCACTGCATGGGCGCAATTCTTTCCTTTGTAAAACTGTCAAATCTGCCACTGTGGTTTGTGAGAACCTGAGTCATGGCCCATTCCAAATTCCAAATGCTAACTTGAACCAGCCACACAAAGGTGAGATTTATGCTTTATCTGAACTGTTTTCAAAGTGTATGCTTTGGTTTTATGAGAGGAGGTTTCAAGGATGAAGAATAATGGGTTTAGCAAATGAGAATGTGTGAATTTACTGAATTAAGCAAGGGCACATTTGTATTCATTCATTTGTAAGATTAACAATGTTTTAATTGCTCTTTCAAAAGTCAGTTCTGAAAACACAGGACTGAATACAAGGATATTGGTTGGCTAAACCTCTCAGCTTTCTCACTACACCTGAGGGATTTATTTTGACCAATGTTCCATCTAGATGTTCTTCACACTTCAGCCGCCGATAGCACACAATGTCCTCTAATGGCTATGGTCACACATTGTCAGCATGGAGTCAGACAAAAAATATATATATGCACACAATATAGGGGGATCACTCTACACGCACATTCCTCAAGCCCCTGGAGTGTGAAAGCAGCATGCTGCTTCACTTGCAGTCCTGGCTGAGGATTGTGGGTGGAGGGGCTGTTTTGGAAGTGAAACTTCCCATGCTAATCTGCCATTAGCTTCCATCGGCCAGGCCAGGAAATTAATCCCTCTGACCCAGTTCTGAAGAGCGCCCTGGGAGCCCCCACCCATCACCCAACCCCTGCAGACACACAAAGCCAAGCAACAACAGTGCACCCCCGTCCCCTTCTTTTTGGCAGTAAGATACACAAGAACAGATACTGGAAAGATGCACTGTCCTGGGTATGGCCCTTCTGGGTAAATGCTAAATGTTTTTGAGTGCTTTTTTGGCACTCACGTTGACCTCAATGTCTTGACAGAACAATAGCTTGGCTAGCTACTAAGATGCCTAAAGGCAGATCTCACTTGATTTCACCCACAGCTATTCTTTTCATCATTTGGCCAAAATATTTACATAGTCTCTAAAGCAAGTTATTAAAGCTATAACACTAAAGTCAGAGATAACGGAACTCAAGGCTTCTAATGCAGTGTCATTCCAACTCATGACTGCACCAACCTGTCACCTCAGGCTCTGAATGTCACCTTTATGGAGATAAAAACAGCTCCTCTTCTTCAGATCAACAATGACCTTTCGTTCCTTGCACACAAAGCTCTAAAAGGTCGAGCCTGGCTTAGACAGGTCAGTCTGTTGAGTCATCAGAGCTACTCAGCCACAGCCTCCCTCAGACAGTGAGAGGATGTTGTTTGTGCATGTGTCCAAAAGATTATGGATGCACCTGAGCACAGCAGCCACTGCACTAAACCAACAGCTGGCAGATGAAATGACATTGGACCAAAGTGACACTTGGTAGAGCACAGCAGAGAGGAGGAGCAGGGAACAGAGATGAAGGAAAAATAAAAAAGGGGAAGGAGACGAGCTTGAACAGAGAGAAAGGGGTGAAATAAAAATAGAGTGATCATAAAGGAAGGGAAAAAGTGGCACACAAGAGCATCTGCCAGTCTGTCAAACAGTTCATGCAGAAAAGGCTTTGAGAGACAGGATGCCATAAAGAGAGACAGTGTATGTGTGTCAAGTGATGCTCCCATAACCTTTCCCTCCCCACACACCCACACAGCTGTTCCCATAAGATGACTGCTTGACACAAATGAAGAAGCAATGGTCCCAAAAAACAAAAACTACTAGATGTTGCAGTGCAGAGAGGCCACATACTCTATGTCATCACCACTACAGCTAGGATCAGAGTCAGAACATCCAAGTCTGATGCCATGGTCCTCTGAGAGCGAGTTGCTCCCAAATTCTGGTTAACAGAGGGAGAGATAAATAATCGACAGGTGGATGGCTGCAGTGTCAGCGGTAGGGCTGGGGGTAAACGATTATTTACTAAACGATTAATCGGGCGATTATTTGATCAATTAGTCGACTAATCTAACGACTAATTGGACGATTAACGTGAGTTAGATAATGTTAGACAGATAACGTTAAAAGCTACTGCAATCTTCTTGCTACCGTTAGATAGATCTAGCAGCTGTGCACTTTGGTGGTGCTAGGCTAACCAACGCATCTTAGCTCTCTCTCTCTGAAACGGAGGCACCTCTTTGCCACTTGCGAAGGAGACAACAACAACAACAACAACAAGAAGCACCAACGCTGGCCAAATCAATCTCATGCCCGTGCAGCCAGCCCACGCCAGCCAGCGTTCTGTGAGGAGGTTGTTGTTTCGTCCTCCATTCTGCAATGTTTTGGTCTCCCACATTTAGAACAACTACAAATGACACACTGTAAGGACAGCCCTGTAGAGACATACAGAAAGAGTTTGGTGCAGAACCGCTAAAAGGACTCAGTTGAGGTGGTTCAGACATCTGATGAGAATTCCTCATGGATGCCTCCCTCTAGAGGTTTTCTAGATACTAATCAGAAGAGCCCCAGGGGCAGTCCCAGAACTTGGTAGAGGTTCCATAGAAGGAGCTGCAGGAGAAGTTAGGATGAAGGATGTCTAAGGCTACCTTGCTTAGATTGTAACAACACAGATAAGCAACAGAAAATGGATGGATGGGCAAAACAGTGGACATTTTGTGGACATTTCTGCACCAATATTCAATATTTTTACCATAATGTGACACACACAACTTTTAGTGTTTTGGCAGCACTGTAATCATGGATAAACTTCATGGATTCCTGTGGGAAAGTTCTCTTTTTGGTTGCTTCTCATGGGAAGTCAAAGACAAGTGACAGAGCAGCAGGCCTGCAGCTTGTAACCTCCCTTCCTACAGTCTAGGTCAACCTGCTGCCCCAGTATTGGTTGAATTACACCAGTCCCAGTCATATTCCTGGGTATTGGTGCTAGTAACTGTTATGTGTACAGTATGCTATATACCAAAATGTCTAAATAGAGGACTTAGACCAGACGTTGGTAACTAAACAGATGAAAGCATTGCTTTCCAAATTCTTTGTCTTTATCAAGAAATAAGATTAATTTCCAACATAAAAACTGCATGACTGAGTAAAGCTGAATACACTAATAGTAAGGCTCCTGTTATTTAGACCAGTGTCAACAGATACAGCTATAATTCAAAAACCTGACACTGGTGGCCGGGTTAGTGAAATAGGTACAGTAACTCTGTGATAGTGAGGGCAGAGTGGAGCTCAACTTGCAGGTAAAGCTTGGGCCCAGT